CTTGGGTTATTGTAGATTTTGGTTTTTGAGCAAAACCCGGTGTTGGGGCCGATGGAGGAAGATGGCAGGGCTGTTAAGCGGTGGTTTTGACCATTTTAGGTGGCAGCAGTACACCGGTCAAGTGTTAACGCTAAATGAAGGAGAGGGATCTGAAGGAGATGAATCTGGAAAAAAAAAAGAAAAAGAAAACAAAAGAGGAGGGTGTGAAAATGAAAATGGTGATTAAGGAGAAAGAGATGAAATGTTTATTGAAGGAAATGGGAGAGGAGGAGGACGGGCGGCAGTTCTAGGTATTATTGTTTTTTTCTTCTTTTAGTTATCACTGTTTTTTCTTTGGGGTTAAATATTAGGTGGCAAATTTTTTAATTACAATTACACATGGCATTTTCTCATTTGTTCATTTGATATGAATCCGATAGTGTATTTCACGCGAGGTGAGTTGAAAAGATCGAGTGTTTAGTTGACTTACTTTATTGTAGGCTTGAAGTGTCCAGCTGAAAATGAGCTCAGTTGAGGTGTTTGCCTGATCGTTGAGGACAACTTAGAGCCCGTTTGGATTAGCTAATTTGAAGTAGCTGATAAACATTAGGTGTTGAAAAGTACCTTTAAGTGTTGAAACTGATTTAATAAATAAGTAGTTACGTGTTTGGATACAAGTGTTGAAATTGAAAATAAGTCGTTGTAGTACTTGATAAAAAAGTGTTGATAATCTCTTTTTCTGTTAAAATGACTTAAATAACTTTAGAACCGTTTACACTTGTAAGGGCGTAATTTCTTTAAAATTTTAGATTCCAGATCAATTCAAATACAAAATATTCTATTTGCCATTTTATTTTAAATACAACTGTACTTAGATAAGATAATTTTTCTGATAAATATAATTTATTTTATGATAAACATATAAGCATCAGTTATAATAATTAATAAATTGACAAAAGTTTCTCAATAAAAAATAAACCTAAATAGGACAAAATATTTGAAAAAAAAAACAAACACTGTCTTCATCACTACAACACTTAGAAAGCAATACACCAAAAATTTGATATATCCTCATTTATTACATACAATTCAAAGATTAATACACAATCACATAGATATAAATATGCAAAGGAATAGAGAATTTGCTTATCTTAAATAGTCAATGAGAATTGCAGACTTGAAGAGGGGGGGGAGGGTTAGGTTGAAAAAAAAATACTTGAGACAGTGAGTATCGATGTAGGAGTTTTATTCTAAAAAGGAATATTTTAAGGATAAAATAGTAAAAAATTTGGTCAAACTTAAAGTACTTATAAGCTAAAAATTGATAAGTTGGGGGTGACCAACTTATGACTTATTTTTAATTTATAAGCACTTTTAATTTTACCAAACGTGTAAATAAACAAAAAATACTTATAAGCTAGTTTGACACGCCGTTTATGTAATTTGCCAATAATTCTCTCCTCGACTTAATTATGGAGTATGGAGCGATCACCTTTACCATCGTGATTCACGAAGAAGAAAAGCGAGGACAATGGGGAAACATCACTCCCTTTCAGGTAGCAGTCTATAGCCAATCCAATCAACAACATATGTTACTATTCGATTGAAAAGAAAAAGAAAGAAAGAAAAGTAAAAGGGAACAAAAAGAGCAAAACGATTTAATGGAAAATACATTGATTCAGGGCTTCTCACACGCTTCAATGGCTGTGCAAACGAAAATACCAATAGGACCTCCGCATACTTAAGAGGTCACAATGGGAAGACGAGAACTACTTTGAT